TTTTGTGTTTGGATGTGTTTTGTGTATTTGCAGCACATTTCTGTATTTGGTTGTGTTGCGAGTATTTGCAGCACATGTGTTGTCAAACTGAAGAAGATGTTTTCTTAATTTGCTTTTTCTATTTGCATGTGTTGTCTTAAATTGCAGCGCGCTGAGCTCTCTCGGCCACCATATAAAATAGAAAACAGTTATTTTAAATTGTATATGTATATATATATATATATATATATATATATATGTGTATAAAAGTATATATGTGTGCACTAATAATATCATGACTGTTTGTGCAGATGGAACTGTCGTTCTGAGCACCTGCCCCGCAAAGCCTTTGATGCTAGGGGGCGCACAGGGTCACTAGATGAGCTGGAAGAGTTTGCTATGTCATACGGCCCACACGGTCATCGGAGAGGTGACTTTCGTGGACCTCAGCGAGACTTTGAAATGGGTCCAAGGTCGCGGGACCATCCCACATCTTACCGAGACGGGCCACGGTATTCTCGAGGTGATGATGACAATGACGACTGGCGCCGTCGAGGCTCACCACCTTCCCCGCCAAAAAGGCGCAACACTGCCGACAGCGAGCGTTACCTCGCTCGACAGAGGTCTTATGACGATACCTACCTGAACACTCTGCTGGAGCGCAAGGCTAGGGGCCACGGAGAGCGAGGGGGGAGGGTTGATGATGACAGTGACACACCTTCAAAAGGCAGTTCCAAGAAGAGCAGTGACTGTTACAACAGCAGGTCACCTAGCCACCGCCCCGAGGAGGAGGATCCTTTACCTCCGTACTCTGAGAGGGAAGCGGAGAGGTTTAGAACTGAAGAGCATATAGGGAGGGAACGGTACAGGACTGCTGATCCTGCCATGCGGCCTTTTTCATACACACGTCCGGCCCATGGACTGTCCCATACATTACAGGAGCGCAGGGAGGACAGGGACAAATCCAGGAAACTGGTGAGTTACTTATAATCATCTGCCCTGGTTTCTGTACATTGAAGGGTGGAACAAACTTCCTTCAAGCCTAAAAAGAAGAGCCGATTCAGATTCCATTAATATGAAATGTAAAGTCTCAAATGTTAAAGAGCACAAATAAGTGTTCTATCCTTCAAATCAAGCAGTATCTTGTCAAAAAAAAAAAACATCTCAGCTCACCATCTATGTATATTTACATAGTCATCAAGTAATTTCAGACATAATGCTCTTCTCAGACCTGTGGTCTTTTGGGTTATGTAAGGTCAAATCCAGCTTGCAACATCTCTCAATCCCATTTCCTGTGATAAATGTGGCATATGGGGTAACAATAATTTTTTTAAATAAAACTTGTTGTTATAGCTTCAAAAATTAGGGAGCTACTGGACGGGTAAAATTATGATGTTTATTTTGAAGTTACCTGATTTTAAACGTTTTATATGTTAGATTGAATTTCCTTTTTCCTTCTCAGACTTACCTTTCAAAAGTTTGGGGTCAGTACTATTTTTTTTTTATAAATTAATATATTTATTAAGCAAGTATGCATTAAATTGGTGTAAAGTTACAGTAAAAACATTTATTATGTTGCAAAATATTTCTATTTCAAATAAATGCTGTTCTTTTGAACTCTCAAATTATCAAAGAAAAAAATCCTGAACAATTTTCATAAATATTAGGCAGCACAACTTTGTTAACACTGAAGACTGGAGTAACGGTTCCTGAAAATTCATCTTTGCCATCACTGGAATTAATTGCTTTTTAAAATATATAGAAAAGTATTTCACAATATTAATGTTTTTATGGTCTTTTTGATCAAATAAATGCAGCCTTGGTGAGTATAAGATCTTACTGACCCCAAACTTTTGAACGGCAGTGTATATAATAATGAAATATAGAAATAAACTCAAAGTTTTCTAAAATTGTGACATTTTCTCTCAAAATTATGATTTTACATCTCACAGTGTGTCTGTTGTCCTTATTTTATCTCAAAATTAAATTTTTAAAATATTTTTTCAACTCTGAGGATCTATTGTCAGCCTATATTTTATTTTATACTTGTCATTTGTTTTCCAAAGAGGGACTCAAAGAAATCTGAATATGAAATTATTTTAACTGTACAGCGTGTCGTTTTTTTGTATGCTGAAATGTAAATTGTATTCTTTACAAGAATGTATGTAAATGAAAGTCCGCTTTGAATGATCAAAACGGTTGATTTCTCAGGCAGGTTTTATGTATTTTTGTTCTGTTTTCCTGATTGTATCATAAAAGGCATCACTAACTCTAATGGGCTCACAGTACAGCATTACACTGGCACACTAACAACGCATCATGCTAACGGGTGTCTAATGTGTGGCTCTTGGTGTTTTTTTAACAGACCACTCATCTAAGCAGAGACTCACTAATTGTGTGACGTCGTCAGACTGAGCTGACATCATACTAATAACATCACCATCCAGCTGAAGAGAAATGCCCCAGACACTAAGTATCAATCTGTCAGAAAGACACATTTTATGCAGGATCACACATACATGAAGAGCTTGGGAACTTTTGCTGGTCAAGGGCAGGAACATAGTGTGTGTGTGTGTTTGTTTTTATTTTCTGTATTGATAATAATGTCAAAAAAACTATTTTCGTAATTAGTCCTCAGACTACCGCTGCACTAAAAATATCTTAGAAAGGACTTTAAATTGTTCAAATGATATTCAAGTGCTTTAAACATTCCTTGGTATTTTGTATATCTTTAGTACTGTAATGGGACGCTGTCTCTGATATTTCAATATTGCCATTGCCTTTGTTTGCACTGTACTGTACATTTGTGTCAGTGTTAATCAGTTGGCTCTCGAGGGAAGCATGAATGATTGTGCTTTTGATAATGTGCCATTTATTTGTATTTCACTGTTTTAAAATAATGACTTTGATATTAACACTTGCTGTCTGTTTTTTTTTTTTCTGATAACCTTAGTGTATTCATGATAAAAATATATCCCTGTTCTTTATCATCAATATCAGGGCATGAACACTTGCTTCTTTTGGTCTTGCTTCAACATAAGAAAACAAATACAGTAAGGCATTTTTTAGCCATACAGAATCTTGGCCATGCAGGAAACTGGACAGGACACAGAAAAGGAAAGGATGATTCTTTCCAGGATGAGATTACAATAGCAGGAAACAATCTGATACAAGCCCTCACAGGTGTTTAGTGCTTTATGTTTAGATCTCTGTATCTGCTGCTTTCTTTCACATTGTGCCATAGTTGATAGTTAATAGTTACATTTATTATTAACGATTAATAAAACATCCTTTCCCGCCAATAGGATGTTTACACTCTGTATAGGAAAAAAAAAACACAGCAACTCCCCATATGAATATTATGTGTGATGGCAGTTTACAATAGTTTAAAAGAACACAGCTCATTCAGAACTTAGAGCTGGAATTAATTTACTTTTTTTTTTACTTGCAATTTTTGGGAGGATAGCATGGTTATAATGTTACATCATCAAACACAGTTCCATTCTGAGAACAGTGACCAAAAAGACACAACGGCCACAGTCGAGTTGACCTTTTCCTTTAACCAGTCTAAGCTTGTTTGCTGGTCTCCACATCTAGTCAGGATTGTCTGTTGGTCAGTTTTACATGGATTTTAATATTTTTCAGCTGGTGAGGTAGTCGTTCATTACTGCAAAAATAGAACGTTGGGAAGACGTGGCCCATTGATCCGGCAAGGGACGCCCCCTGGTGGTTAAATGTTAATAACTACAAATATATTGCGTAATTCTATCGAATAAAGTAAACAACGCAATAATACTTTCACTTTGAGCGATGAAACATATTTACATAATAATATAATATTAATAATAAAAATGTGAAAAATCATTTAATTTTGAACAATAATCAATTAATAACTTTAAATAAAGTAACATGACCCAATTCGGGTGTTGTGCACCTGTTGGTGGGTGGAGTCTGTGGCGTCATCGTGGAATGGGGGAGGGGAATCAGACTTCCAAAGAGCAAAGGTGTGTTTACACTGACTCGAGAGAATTTAGGTAAAAATATCAGGATATATTTGCGTCGTATGGTTTACGATGACATGATGGCCAGCATACATCGTCTGTATTTGTTTGGTTCGCAAATATAGGATTTTTCTGTTTTTTGGAAAAATACAGTAAAGGAAAAAAAAAACTTCCGTGTAACCGAGAAACATGAAGGAAACGCTGAAGCTCAAGGTGCTTGCGCTCGTGCTCTGCGTATTTCCAACAGGTAAGTCGGCATTCAAAATAACTGTCAGGGTTTAAAATTGAATATTAGGAGTTTCATTTAGTGGCATACCACTTTTAAAGAATTTAAAACATTTCTGGTAATTCTATAAATTCAGTGGCGAGGTTAATCATCCACAGGTGCAAACATGATTGGCAGATAATCCCGATCACGTGATTTACAAGCTTCATGCCAGCACAAATGTTAATATTATGTTTTACTGACACTTGATTTTGTTTGTATGTGTAAGGATGTGTAAAATATAGATTTTCAGGCCTGGAACAGGAATAGAAATAGATATAGTTTTAAAATAGTGAATATAATTATTTTTGTTATGCTCAGCTCTAAAATATTTAATTTGCTGAAAATGGTTCTTTGTGAGTAAAATCCTTATGAAATGCCTAACTAACTAACTAAATAAATCAAATTAACGACTGGAAAAGTAATGAAAGCTTGTCGGTCAGAAGGTGTGGTGAAGGTGTGGAACCCTGATGCAAACGGTATGTTAACTGATCCCTCTCCCTTTATTCTCAGAGCTGTTGTCTATCCAGGTTACGGTTCCTCATACAGAGAGACACACAATGTTGTTTGCTTCTGTCACTCTGCGATGTGACTATTCCACTACTGCAAACCTACAAGATGTCCTGGTCACATGGCGATACAAGTCCTTCTGTTTGGATCCAGTGCTGGAATATTACTCAACAGGTGAGTGGTGTAGGTCAACTGAATATAGAAGGCTTTATTTATTTATTTATTTTTTTGTTCTGAATTGATTACATGTGGTGATTGATGTGACCATGTACGTTTCTTTCTTTCTTCAGCATATCAAGCAGCTCTGGGTCTGAAGCAAGACCCAGCCAATGACTGTCCAGACAGTCAGCGCACTGTCCGCATAGTGATTCAGAAAAGAGGCCTCAATGAAGCTATTTTGGGGACAGAATATCGAGATCGCAAGATATACGTACAAAACAGTGAGTCTGGACATGCAGGAGCAGTGACATAAATCAGTGACAGTTTTATATTAGTATAGCAGAATGCTTCCATAAAATGCTTATAAATATCAGTTGTCACTCTGTATCTCCCAATAAAAACACCCAATAAAAAATTAAGTAAACTTAGTGTAGGATCTTTTATAATTATCCTAAGAGGCTTCCTAAAACTTATTATTAAAAAGTACGAGCTATCAATCAGAACAGGTTTTTCAGCTTCAAGTTTTGATAATATTGATAATTTGGAGGCATAAGAAATTCATTTATCAAATGATATAGCAGGCTTTATAGGATCAAATTAATTAGTGTAGACAACTGTTATGTGACAACCACAGATGTAGGCATTTAGAGAATCACAGCCATAGGAAACAATTTATTACATGCTCAAAAGTTGGTCTTAGAAATCTCATTAATCAGATCTTCTCACATCACAGTTTTTTATATATATATA